GGGTGTTGCTCTCTGACCACCCCCCTCCCCGTGTCACCCGGCCCGGACCCGGTGTGGGGTGCACCCAAGGGTCCTTCTCCTGCTGACACCCCAGTTCTCTCCTCCCTGTGCTCCCAGACCTGGCTCCCACCCCCAGGACCCCCCAGACTCTGCTCCCAGTACCCCGGCTGCGCTTTCACCTGGGTGGGAGTCCTGCCAGAGACACACCACCACCACCCCCCCCCGATCAAGGCCACCCAGGGGTGCTGTGCCCTGGACCCCGGGGAGAGGCCACTCAGGGCATTGCCACAGGGAGCTGCGGTCTGTTTGTCACCCCAGCGTTTCGGTGACATCTCCTTGTCCCCCTTTCACAGCCTGTTTTTGGGACACCTTGGTGTCTCGTTGAGGCCATGGCTTCTCTTGGTGCCCCAGCACGGTCCTGCTCTTCTCCATTTCCAGCTCGTTTGGGGCTGGGGGCACTTCACGGGGGTGATGCCGGGGTGCTGGGGCAAGGGGCACCCTGACTTTCCCTCCCCATGCAGTGGCGGAGGCTTAACAGCATGTCATCTGCCCCATTCTGGGTGACATGAGCTGGGTGGGCAGGCGGAGGGGATGGGGTTGCTGTGACAATTGACTCTGTGGGGACCGAGCTGCTTTGCCTGGAGCCTGGGGGAGGGTGTGTGTGTGTGTGTGTGTGTGTGTGTGTGTGTACCTTCCTGCGCCTCCTCTCCACTGTTGATTTCTCATCCCCCCCTTATGCCCTGCAGGCATAAGGACCTTGAAAGGAGGTGAGCCGAGCTCTAACGTGCTCGCTCGCTCGCTTTATTCCTGCGTGGCCTGGATGCTCCGCACCGGTTTTTGTTTGGCTGCATTCAACGTGGCTCCCCGCTGCAGGTCTCAGAGCAGTGGCATTGTCCGAGTCCCAACTGGGTGTCCAGGATGCTCCTTCCAGGCTTGGGCTGTGCCTGTGCTCCTCGAACCCTCTCCCAAGCTCCCAGTTCTGCCCAGTTCCTCCCAGTGGGGATGCTGATCCCTGGGTTTTGGGGCTGCCCTGCAGCCTGGGGTGCACAGGAATCCCCAAGAGCGGGTATGTCATGGGGCTGGGGTCCTGTCCCGTCCTGTCCCATCCCCTCCCCAGCATTTCCTGGCCTGGGATGCTGCTGTGCTGCTCAGTGCCACCCTCTGTACCCCCAGGTTTTGTGGGGAGTGCCTGCAGCCCTGCCTCCAAGTGCCATCCCCACTCTGTCCGCTCTGCCGCATGCCCTTCGACCCCAAGAAGGTGGAGAAGGCTTCCAGCGTGGAGAAACAGCTTTCATCCTACAAGGCTCCCTGCAGAGGCTGCAGCAAGAAGGTAAAGCTCGTGGGGGAAGGCTGCCTGTCCCCGTCCTGCTGCCAGTCCCTCAGCCATAGTGCTGGGGGACGGAGGTTGCTTGCTTTCCACAGTTGGGTTTGTAAAATCCCCTATTTGGCAGGTCCTCAAACTGTACCTGTGAGGTGTGATGTCACCTCTACGTGTCACGGCTACCGCCATGAGCCAGGCAAGCGGGGCTGTGCGGAGATGAAGGCGCTCTCTCCTAGCTGCCTTTGTCAGCAGATTGGAGCTATTATTAGACAGTGGGGACCTTCAAAAGCAGGCTGAGGTTTTCCTGCAACACGGGAGAGGCTGAGACAAACCAGCTCTGCTGCTGCTGCTGAGACTAAGGATTTAGGTCTTGTTTAAGGTGCTGTGATCCCAATGGCCACAGGGGAGCTGAACTGCCAGCATAGCCTGTCCCAGCCTGGGGCAGTCTGGTCTGGAACACTTCAGGGACCAGCTGTAAAGCTGTGATTCATGGTGTGTCTCCGCTGGTGCGCTTTCTGGCTTCCGTTAGCTTTGGGGATCGTCTTGTAACTCCCTGGCTGCAGCCCAGGGCTGATCCCGTGCGGTGTCAGAGCAGTTTGGGGTTTCCGCCTGTCAGCAGTTCCTCCTTTGTGGAGGGAAATAGAGCCTGTGCTACAGTAACGCAGCCTGGGTGGCTTGTGTGTGGCCTCCGGAGGCATGTACAGTGAGCATGCAGCCCCAAATCTCTGTCCTGTGAGGACGGACAAGCTGGTGCAGCGTTGCCACGCTGGTGTGGGTCATCCTGCACAGACCAGTGTTCACTCTGATGTTGACTGGCCAAAACTTCTCCTGAGCTGTAGTGGAGGCTCCAACACTGTGTCTGGAAGGTGTTCCTGCAGCCTCCGGGAGTATTTCTTCTCTCCTTCTTCTCCAGGTGACCCTTGCGAAAATGCGCTCTCACGTCTCGTCCTGCGCGAAGGTGCAGGAGCAGATGGCCAACTGCCCTAAGTTCGTTCCAGTTGTCCCCACGTCCCAGCCTATCCCCAGGTACTGCCACACGTCAGGTGGGGAAACATCTCCATCTGTGCAGACTGTACTGGCACTCCCCTCCCTTACAAGCCCTAAAATCCGAGCATGTGTTTTACATTCCCTTGGGTAATCACAGGAAGAAACATCAGCGCCTTTTTCCTCCTGGCCATCTGGAGCCCCTGCCCTGTGTTCCGGAGTGTGGCATGGGAGGAAGGACCAACCAGACCAGGGTGGTTCAGCCTGGAGCGGGAACGGGCTGGGCTGGTTTCCACCAGGGATGGGTGGCACAAAGCCGAGCAGGGGTGGCTGGGTTAGTTTGGATGGAGATGATCCAGTCACTTCCTGAGGGATCTGAGCTTATCCTTGCTCTCTTTAGCAATATTCCCAATCGGTCGACGTTCGTATGTCCATACTGCGGGGCCCGGAACCTGGACCAGCAGGAGCTGGTGAAGCACTGCATGGAGAATCACCGCAATGACCCCAACAAAGTGGTGAGTGACGCTGGGATGCCGGAACGGGCTGGTTCTGTGCAGGGTAACTCCTGGAAATCCAAATACACCGTAGCTGATGCTGTGTCTGAGGCCACTGACATGGAGAGCTGCTGCTGCGCATAAACTACAGCTTTGTTTCCAGCTGGTTTAGTTTGTTTTAAATCCCTTTGATAGGAGGTGGGGACCTACCTCAGTTTGCTTTGTTAGAGGCTCTCTGGAACAAGCTGTCTCCGTCCCCCCGTGCCTGCAACCTGGGTGGTGCTGGATTTCCTCTCTCCATCCCCGCTGGGTTGACTGAGGCAGAGAATTTGCAGCTCTGGCGCTGTCTCAGAGGCACTTGTGCACACACGTGCAACTTACCAGCGGGCTAAAAGCAGCCTGGGCCACGTGCCAGAGGCTCTGTGCACCAAGAGGTCTGCTCGGAGGGGTGGGGGACCCCCCCCAAGTTTAGCTCATTCTCTGCATGACACACTCTGTGAGGGAGGGGGACCACTCCCCCCCTCCCCCGCCTGTTGTGACTGCACCAGCCCCCCCCCCCTCCCTCCCACCCCCGGGGGAGATAGGGGCAGAGGGGTCTGTGCCCATGAGTCATTTTGTCCCTGCGCACTGCAGGTGTGCCCAGTCTGCTCAGCCATGCCCTGGGGGGACCCCAGCTACAAAAGCGCCAACTTCCTCCAGCACCTCCTCCACAGGCACAAATTCTCCTACGACACCTTTGTGGTGAGTATGGCTCCGAGTCGAAACAGGGTGATCTTCCCCGAGTCCTGTGCTGAGCGGGTGGGAGATGAAATCCCTTTCCGTGCCAGGACCAGCCTGTCCTGCTGTGCAGCCTCTCAGGAGGGGAAGGGGATGGATCCTCTTTTGGACTTTACAGGAGGCACATGGTACATGTGTAGCCCCACTCGGGAGACCCCCGTGGGTGTGGGGCTGGGGTCCCTGCCTGCTGTGGGGTGCGCTCAAGCTGGTCATCATCAAACACGCCGGGAAAATGTCTCTGAAGGAGGGGAGGGAAATGTTACTGCTCTCTGTGAAGATGGGTTGTTTGCTCTGTGTTCCATTAAACTCCTCCCCTGAGGAATTTTAACACAAAAGCCCTTTTCTTTGAGGCTTGACAAGCAGTGGGAGGGGAGCAGCCCAGCCCTGGGGCTTGGGGGGGGTCTGGCTGCTGCATGTCGGGGGTATCCATGGCCCCCCTCGTGGGGAGTTGCTGACCCCTCCTGTGTGGGGGTGAGGGTATGATGGCCCAGACTTGGCTGCAGGGAGCGAAGGGAGGTTTTGTTAGCATCCTGCTTTTATCGCAGGGACGTTAGATTTCAGGGAAAGGGACCCACAGCTATTTACAGAGAAATATCCCCACCTTAGGGACCGATCGCTGTGTTGCATAAACCCGAACTGGAGAAGCCCGTGGCCTTGCTAGAAAGCTTTACCCTTTGGTCACAGCTTCCTGTGTGGGCAGGTTTCATCCCTGCCCGCTGCCAGGTCTAGGAGCAGGGCTGACGTTGGCAGATTCCAGGCAAGAGAGGGACCATGGGCGCAAAGGTTACCCC